ACATTTTCAAAAATTGAAGTCAATTGTAACTTTTGATCTCTGATGTTGTTCACAATTATAAATAGTGTACATCTTGGTTAATCAGATTTATTAGTTAAGTAAGACTGTCATTTTTTTATTATCAAGCACATATTCATTATAAATTAATTGCAGGCAACTTTCATTACATTACTTTTTATTCTTTCCTTTCCAGACTGATTAATTGCAACATACATATTAGTAATCTGAAACTCATAATTTTCCTTCAGTTGAAAAATACCTTAATATTATTATTCAACCTAAAATGTTCACAAGCAATCAGTGACAAGGAAATGTCATTTTAGGCTCAGGGGGTTATTTTGGTATAATTTTTTTTAATGGGCAGTGAAATAAGTGCTAAGCACAGCAATGCTTTTCCAGTTGTGTGGATGGGCTTTTTTTTTACATGTTCAGTGGTAGTCAATATCTCCTCCCAACAGGCATTGATGTCTCCACAAAAACATAACAAATTGCAAAGAGTTTACATGTTTTACGAGCACACCTTCATTGCCTTGAGTGGGGCAATTACTTAAAGAAAGCACTCTCTCCATGAAAAACTGCCATAATTCCTCACTTTGCAAATTCCTTTGGACAAATTCCAACCTCCTTGGTTCAAATTCTATTTTCTCTTTTCCCTTTCTCTCTGCCCCTTCCTGCCAGTTGACATGTACTTAAGGCTATGAATTCTTACAAACCTTCATCTGCACATTAATTTATGGTAAACTTTAACTGTCTTTGATTTAGCTCACCACTATGGTTGTCCTAGTTCCCACATATTTCAAGTCAAAACCTTAGATCTAGGGATGGTTGTTGTTCATGTCATTAAGTTTTACGCATTAAGTACCAACCATAATTGCTTACAGCTTGACATTCAAACACAAACATATCTCTACCTGCAAATTAGGGAAGAAGTAGCTAAAGGACTGTTCCCAAAGCAAGATGAAGCGAGGTGATTGTTCCTTCCCACTAATTTTAGGAGATGGAATAAGGAACCTAATCTAGCCGCCTTGTCTCTAGCCAGAATGTGGATGCAGATCATAATTGGAAGAGAATGAAAAAAAACTAGGTAAATATATAAACCTTCTGGAGAATCTTTGTATGTTGCAGAAAAAAAATCAATTCAGACTTTAAGATAGTAGCAAAATGTTTTATAGCCTAGCTGGAGATTTCCACACAGTCCTTTCCTGTTGTCTGGAGATAAAGTTACCAAAACTGGGGAATTTGGACCCTGCCTGGAGATGATACACAAGTACAGGAGACACAGGACCAGGCCATGATATCTGGGAACCTATTCCCCACTCTCTCCAATTACATTGCCACACAAAGAATGTGAATTCTCTCTTACTTAGAACAGAGTATTTATACAGGTAAGCAACCCTTACTTTGAATCCTATAAACTAGATTTCTACCTATTGCTTGGTAAGCATATGACATTTCTGAAATCAAACCAAATTTGTCAGACATACTTCTCTTCTGGTACTTTCAATAACAAATTCCCTCTGTATAAATGTACAGAAACTTTTCCAAACATGCCACTCAGGTTTCACTTGGTAGCAATATAATCTAAGTAAACTGAACTTTGCAGATGGCAATCTCATTCTCAATTTGTAGAAAAGTAGTTTAAAAATCCATTCCATGTTTACCTGTTAATTCTAGCATACTGAAGGACATTTTGCCCAGGTTATTCTTATTATATTTGTCATTTTGTTTGATTTCATTGTTCAGGGTGATGTAGTATATCCTGCAGTAGCAGTATATCCTGCACTAAAAATGCAGGATATACTTTTTTCTGTTAGTGTGATAATAAATATTTAGAACTCAAGTTCCATCTGTCTTTCTGCAAGGCCTCTTCAGACAGCCACAACAAATCTGGAGTTTAATATTCTAGCACTTAAAGTTGTGGTCACAAAACTGTAACTTTATTAAGATCTCTTCTGTGCATTATCTGGGGTCTGTGAAGAAACACACTTTTGACCAGCTTTTTGATGAGAAGTCTTACAGGCTGCCTTGGATGGTATGAAGAAAGAAGGATCATATCAAGGTCTCACGAAGACCACATCTGCCTACAAACAGGGTTTCACAGGAAAGAGTGCTCTACATATAAATGCTCTCCAGGTGGAGATCTAGATACCTCATTTGTAAAGATTTTATATTACTTCTATGGAGGAGAGTTCCTGCTTGTAGCTCAAAGTTTATTTTGCAGAAGTAAAAAAATACAGGTTGAGCATTCCTTATCCAGAATTCCAAAATCTGAAATACTCAGAGGCACATTTTCCACCTCATTCCTTTTATAAGTGTCTCCAAACTGAAAATTTTAACTGAGATAATGTTACTGTAAAAGTAAATGGAATGTTAATTTAACAACCACTTGGAAGTTGTTTGCAGTTTTTAGACAATCAAATTGCTGAGTTAAAAGTTAATTCAGAACCATAGTATCATTTTTATGTTCAAAGTGCTGTAAGCAATATGTCCAAAGTACTGTTAAAAGGTTGGAATCCTACATAAATTTAGTGACCAAAATTCATTTGAACTAGTTGAAGAATTCATGTAAATTACTTGCATTAGATTGGACTTTAAAAGGTGAATTTTTATCTAAACTTGAGTTATCATTATAATCTTTTCACTCATACATTTTCTCCACTAATGTTTTAATTATGTCATAGTACTTTAATGTGTTATGAGGTAGCTAAAATCCAGTTCATATGTGAAATGGAATAAATGAGAATCTTGAGATAATAGGATAACCTCACACTATCTGATTCTTATCTAGACTAGACCTTAATTAAAGGAAACAAACATTTTTGTAAGACACAGGTATGCAGTCATAGTGACTAAATGCTGATATTTCAGAGAAGGAGCACTTAAGGAGGGTAAAGAGAAGAAACATATTGTGAACATTCAAAGAAGGCTCAGCTGCTGATCAATAAATGGGCATAGCCTTCCATTTCTATATGGAAATCTTCCTTTTTTGAAAAAGATGACTACTTAATTTTTAAGGGTGGTGTTTATTTTGCAAAAGTAAAAATACAGGCTGAGCATCCCTTATCTGGATTTCTGAAATCTGAAATACACCATAATTGTTCACGTGGGTAGCTAAGACAGTAACACCTTTGTCGTCTTATGGTTGTTTCATGCACATATATATTTAAAATATTGAATAAAATTTCATTCAAGCTATATGTTAAAGAAACATATGCAACATAAATGTATTTTTAATTTAGACTTGGGTCCCATCTCCGAGATATCTCATTGTGTATGTATAAGCAAACACATGTATTCCAAATTCCTAAAAAACACTGAAATCAAAAATGCTTCTGGTTCTAAGCATTTCCGATGAGGAATATTTAACTGTAGGTTTTTTTGCCCAGGATTTGGTTGTACACACAGGTGGACAAGCTTATAAGCTTATAAACACAAATGAAAATTTTGGATTTGGAGAAACCTTTTAAATGTTCAGTAATGATGTAGTGCCTCTGAGAAATTTCAGCATTTCTGTCAAAAGGACCTTTCTCTCTTTTTTTCTTTTTCATTACATTGAATATCTGCTTAGGATTATTGTGATGGGGAACACAGCTATGTATTTGTTCCTCTGAAAATCCATGGTTTGTTCAGCAAAGGAAATGCAAGTGATCTAGCAAAACTGGGATTTCTTAAAGCATCAACAAGATTTTTATGGTATAGTCCTTTTCTTAAGGAGATCTTGTCAGCTTTCTAAATGAAGAGATATAAAATTGTGAAAAAGTCTCCATGAAAATTAATGTTATGGAAATTTCCTCAGAAAAAGCCCAACCTCACAAGAATTTTTTAAAGGCATTACAAAGAAACAAAATGCCTAAAAATAAGAATAATAATGTACCCACATAGAGAAACAAGTTTAGGAGGGAAAATATAACCTTGATGTATCCAACAATGCCCATTTCTGCTGATGAGAGATGACATTGTAGGTAGAATTGTGCTCAGCATGTTGCTAAGCTGTATTACTATACATTTAGTGTCAATAGATAAAATGAGGCTCTTTGTGTTCTATTACTATGTCAAGTACCTAGAAAAGTGAGCATGAATAATACGTCAGAAAATGCAAGGTGCTATTAAATAGAAAATAAATTGCTTTGGAAAGTGTCCATAAAAATGTTATCTCACGTACTTGTCTTTAAAAAAGAAGATTGAACCAACAGAAATGGATTAATGGGGGGGGGGGTAGGGAGATTTACTACAAGAACAACATCTGTATTTGGAAAAGGATCCATTTGAAAACTACAAATGGAAATCAAGAGTATAAATGATAGCAGCTAGCCAAACAAACRTATGCTTTTGAAGCAATGTCCTGCATTTTTAGCTTTGCAAGGGCAGAAAGGGGTCATGTCATTCTTCTTGATGTTTTTTGTTAATCGGAAAGTAGAAAGTGATCTCAGTTGGGATCACAATGGCAAATCAAAAAAGTTCTGTGGGCATGGTAGAACACTATGTGATTCAAGGTATATACAGAAAAAAATCTAATAATTTCTCTTTCATAAGTGAATAAGCAAAGAGTCCTCTTTCGGTAGTAATCAGATCAGTCTGGATCAAATACCATATTCCCTTTTCCAGGCATAATCTCTCAATGTCCTAGAAGCAACTGCTGGAATTCTGCATGGCCTGATGCATAGGAATCCACAATTAAGTAACACATCCCAATCTGAACACTCTACTTTATGGGGCATCAAATACATAAAGAGAGTCATGATATAAGTGGTTGATGTTACCACTCCTCACCCTCCTACTCTCAGTGTGACCGATGCCTGTTAAAGTAAGGGGGGGCAGTTATGTTCGTGGCAAGGGTGTCTGTGTTTGGACTGTGAGCAAGGATGAGTATAGATGGGTAATTCTAGTTAACTCTGAATTCCAGCCAACTATGTAAACATGAAAAATTAGCATGTACGCAATATGCATGCATCTAATATTGTATTTTCACCTGAATTTATTTTTTCTACCATTTTTTAAAGCACAGAACTGTTAAACTTCACAGACAACCAGTTGGTGGCTTGGGCTTAAGTATAAAGGTATGCATAATTCTGTCTTTATATTTCTTTGTTCTATGTAATGCATGAATCAAGATGATGGGCAGATCAACTAAGGTTGATATTATCATTCTGTGTCTCTTTCAGGGTGGTGCTGAGCACAAAGTGCCTGTAGTTATATCAAAAATATTTAAAGACCAAGCAGGTAAAAACAAATGCTTATTTGCCCATAGAAGCTTTTGATGTTTCCCTTGCTTAATTTTCATTCAGTGGCACTGTACTGTTTGGTGTTTTATTTTTGCTTCAGTATGGCCTTATTTCCATTTTCCTATCAATATCAATGGGGAATGTAGTTAGTTACCTTCTGTCTGTGACCACAGCAGTTCCATCATTAGGCAGGCTTTTTTAGATGCTGCTGCCCATAAAATAGCTCAGCAGCAGTTGTTAGAAATCATGAAAAAGAGCTGTCATCATGTTAGAATAAACATTGACAACACGACCAAGCACACACACACACACACGCACACACATATTTATATCCCAATAGCAAACATTGTTACGTTGTTGGCATTGTGGGGTCAAGTCCTAAGAGAATCATAGAATCATAGTGTTGGTAGAGACTTCATGAACCATCCAGTCCAACCTCCTGCCAAGAAGTCGGAAACTCACATTTAAATCACCCCCCGACAGATGGCCACCCAGCCTCTGTTTAAAAGCCTCCAAAGAAGGAGCCGCCACCACACTCTGGGGCAGAGAGTTAAAATGAAGAAACTGCAACTCAGAAGAAAAACTATAAACAATCATCATAATTTTCTCATCCTTGATGAAAAAGTATCCTGACACATTAAGACACCGTTAAAAATGCTACTTTGTGATTTTTATTTAAATGTAGTTATTTATTTATTTTGCATTTTCCCCAGAAAGTTGCATGTGTAGAATAAACAAACACTACCATTGCCTTTTGCTTAAAATGTGTTCCTGCAGAAAAGTATATTTTACCTAAAACACTTTTTTCATAGAAATAATGTGCTGGACATGGGCAGCATAAATATAAAACATTCAAAAAAATCCAAAAAGTGAGGAAATAGTTATACAATGAACAAAATTTCCTCTGATCTCACCCACTAGGGAGAAATCTTTGTAAATTCTTTATTCTTGCACATTAGAATGAAAAGAAAATATTAAATTTCTTGTTCAAAGATTAATAAATCACTGTGACCAATTAATGTGATATCTCATTTTTTTATGCTGATGAAAACTCCTTTTATTCCTTTAAGGTACTTTTTGAAGAACTAAAGGTGCCCTGTCTAGAACATTATTTCCAGATTCCAGAGTCCCTTTCTCCTCGTAAATAGAAGATAGAATACTTTTTTTTATGCTGATGAAAACTCCTTTTATTCCTTTAAGGTACTTTTTGAAGAACTAAAGGTGCCCTGTCTAGAACATTATTTCCAGATTCCAGAGTCCCTTTCTCCTCGTAAATAGAAGATAGAATACTGGGGAAAAGTGCTCCATGTACTTTGTGATATAGGGGAGAATGATATTTAGGTTTTTCTTACAATATATATTAGGCCTGGTTGATCAAGAAAAAATTTGTTTCTAAAATCGATTTGTAATTGGGGTGTTTTTTTGTTTCGATATTTAAAATAATTACAAAACTTTCCCAAAAAAAGTTTCGGTATTTACGAAATTTCGTAAATATTTACAAAACATTTTGTAAAGATGGCGGACCCCCGCGCATGCGCAAAACACTTCCGAAGCTTCGTTATTGGTGCGGAGTCGATTCGTTAAGGTCATAACGAATCGATTCGTTAAAATGGCGGACGCGATCGCGCATGCGCCAAAGCGGCTTCCGAAACATCGTTATTAAATACGATTCGATTCGATATTGAAATAATAACGAATCGATTCGTTAAAGCGAATATTTTGTATTTTTTTAACAATAAAAGACAGGTATTTTTAGAAAATATTCAAAAATGGAAAATTAACCCAAAACTGGCCCTGATGTGGACCAAACACAGCCACGAGACAGGACAAACGAGAGCACACACCAACAGAAGAGTCTTTTCTTTTTTGGAATATTTTTTGTATTTTTTTAAGAATAAAAGGCAGGTATTTTTAGAAAATATTCAGAAATGGAAAATTAACCAAAAACTGGCCCTGATGTGGACCAAACACAGCCACGAGACAGGGCAAATGAGAGCACACACCAACAGAAGAGTCTTTTCTTTTTTTAGAATATTTTTTGTATTTTTTTAAGAATAAAAGGCAGGTAGTTTTAGAAAATATTCAAAAATGGAAAATTAACCAAAAACTGGCCCTGATGTGGACCAAACACAGCCACGAGACAGGGCAAGTGAGAGCACACACCAACAGAAGAGTCTTTTCTTTTTTTGGAATATTTTTTGGTTTTTTTTAAGAATAAAAGACAGGTATTTTTAGAAAATATTCAAAAATGGAAACTTAACCAAAAACTGTCCCTGATGTGGACCAAACACAGCCACGAGACAGGGCAAATGAGAGCACACACCAACAGAAGAGTCTTTTCTTTTTTTGGAATATTTTTTGGTTTTTTTTAACAATAAAAGGCAGGTATTTTTAGAAAATATTCAAAAATGGAAACTTAACCAAAAACTGGCCCTGATGTGGACCAAACACAGCCACGAGACAGGGCAAGTGAGAGCACACACCAACAGAAGAGTCTTCTCTTTTTTTAGAATATTTTTTGTATTTTTTTAAAGAATAAAAGACAGGTATTTTTTAAAAATATTCAAAAATGGAAAATCAACCCAAAAATGGCCCTGATGAACAGCTAACACAGCCAAAAGACAGGGCAGTCGAGAGCAAACACCAACAGAAGAGTCTTCTCTTTTTTTAGAATATTTTTTGTATTTTTTTAAAGAATAAAAGACAGGTATTTTTTAAAAATATTCAAAAATGGAAAATTCAACAAAAACTGGCCCTGATGAACAGCAAACACAGCCAAAAGACAGGGAAGTCGAGAGCAAACACCAACAGAAGAGTCTTCTCTTTTTTTAGAATATTTTTTGTATTTTTTTAAAGAATAAAAGACAGGTATTTTTTAAAAATATTCAAAAATGGAAAATCAACCCAAAAATGGCCCTGATGAACAGCTAACACAGCCAAAAGACAGGGCAGTCGAGAGCAAACACCAACAGAAGAGTCTTTTCCAACAAAGAAGAGTCTTTTCCAACAATGCAAGTCTTTACCGCAACCAACTAAGCCAACCCAAAGCAAGCAGCCCTCCCGTCCCGGACCTCTCTCCTCCCTCGCCTCCGCGCAAATGAGCTCTGCGGCCACGCGGAGCCGCTTTTAAAGGCCTTCCCGGCCAATCAAAATCAGCCACGGTGCACTGCTTGGGTGCTTGGTGCTTTTTGCTCTTTTCCCTTCATCTTTTGCCCAGTGTCTTTGTAACTGCATAAATATAGCTCATTTGCTGCTGATTTTTTTGAGGGGGGGGGCACATAATTTTACTGCTGGATTCTTCAACTTCTAACCCATTTACATAGGCCATATGAGTCAGTTCGGGGTGAATGAACTCTGTTGTGGTTGTACCATAACACCGGAAAAAGACTGCCTAAGGCAGGAGAAGGCCGTGTACTAGACAATGGAAACAGTTGGACCAATTCCTGTTCAGGAAGCTGCTGTAGTTGTTTACACACTGCCATCTTACTTTTCCCAATTAGCCTGAGGATGTGGGGTAGCACCGACACTGCCACTATTGTTCTGGGCTTTGCAATGCCTTCCTGCCCAAAACTGGCAGTGTTCATTGCTCAGCACCTGGAGTAATGCTATTCGAGTCTCCCCACCCCCTGCTCCGCCTGCCACCCACCACTATCTTGCTTCACTTTGTAACTCCAGCTATTATCAATATATGTATTTATTTATTTACTGCATTTATATCTTGCCCTTTTCATCCCGAAGGAGACTCAGGGTGGCTCACAGATGCCACAGTGGTGACCAATACCATTTTCTTGCTTAATAGGCACCACAAAAAACAGAATGTTGGAGCAGGTAAAGATTTCCACCCAACAGCGCAAAAACGGTTCTGGTGCCACTGGGTCATGTGGCTGCCATCCAATCAATGAGCTACCTTAGGGTCATGCAGTATGGACACCTGCCAGCCCATGAGTTGACTAAGTAGCAATGCTGATCCGGAGTACCATTTATGGCCCATTTAGATGGGCTGTTCCTATGATTTTTTCAAAGCAGGAGCATTATTATCAGCTTGACACTGTCTAGAATGCCCTAACTCACTATGTTTATCAGTCCTTGTATGCTGTGGGTCTTAATCATCTCTTTTTCTCCTGCTACAATTACCATAACAGGCCAGTGATGGGACTTGAAGTAGCAAGTTAGGTTTGGATTTGGGCTAGCAGGGCTAGTTCCTTTAAAACTTGAAGACAGCAGTGAGAATAAACACAGAATGATAGCAGAAAGAATGGTTCAAACCCAACTTTGAGCCAAGAGACATTTTCTAGCACAGTGGAATTTACTTTCTTGCTCCCCTGCAGTCTTTAGTATCACCTGAAAACCTGTTCTGGAGGGTTTCCAACATCCATGTTTTCGGTTTTGAAGATATGGGGGTGGCTGTAGATGGGATTGAAACTCTGGTTCTACTAATTTTCCCCAAAAATGATAACATTAGCTCCTTCCCACAGTCATGAAAATTCTATGTCACCAGAACTGAGTAGAATATTGTAGGAAATATGCATTCTTTCCCTTAGGATCTATGCAGAAAATACACAGCTCACCCATCTTTTGCATATTTAACATATCTCTGTGAAATGGCACCACAATAGATTAAATACTCTCTAGTTTCATACAGTAAAGATAAAGCTATTCCATTAGCAAGGAGATAGTACTTATTTGGAGCTAAAAATATCAGCTATTGGGGGTCTCTCTGGCATGCTACTTCTATCTTGATTGTCACTTTTGCTTTCAGGCTTAGACGAAAATGTGGGTTTTTTCAGGCTTGAATAACTGTAATATTTTCTAACTTAGAACTTACACGCTACCATGCCCCCCCCCCCTTTACAGTGTTTATAGCACTGTAAACCATTCAATAATGCATACACCTGACCAGCAAGGTTCCAGTGAATATTCATTAGTTTCACTTACTCCAACAGTGTGAGAAAGAACCTAGCAATAAAGTGCACTTACAGCTTTGGGAAAGAGCCCTGG